GAAATTGATGGGGTTTAGAAATAGGTATTTAATTTTTGCTGAGAATTCCTGTTTCAATGGCAATATCCAATATTTTTTTTATTGGTAATTTAAAAAAAAACAAAACAGAAAAAATTTATGATGGCAATAATAAGCGCCATAATTTTTTTTTACTTTTTTTTTAATTATCTAAAATTTAAAAAAAAACATATAATTTTTATGCCCAAAATAATTACTACAAAAAATCCATATTCTTAAATAAATCATAATTGGTTAAATACCCTTTGATAGATTTGATTTATTTTCTGTCTTGAATTAACCCAGCAGTTCCCTGGGAACTAAACCTGATCTTGTAATTGATTTTAATTTTAAACTTATTCCCACCATTTGAAAATTGTGTAGAAAAAATAATAATTTTCATTTATTTATTTATTTTTTCATAAATGTTTCTTATTCATTTCCGATCGTTGCAACTCCATGTTATTTGTTATTTCCAGTTGCCACAGAGAGTCGCAATTGTAATTACTCTTAATTATATATCAATGTGGCTGTTGGTAATATTTTCCTTCCTGTTTGAAATGGCGAATCGAAGCAAAAAAAAAAAAAAAAAAAATTGGCATGAATTATTTTCTCATGCAGAAAATGCCATTTCGTGGAGCAATGGACTCAAGTTGACAATTACACTGGGGAACATTAAAATATTGAGGGAGAACACAGTGATTATGATATTAAAGAAAGGATAAAACACGAGCGGGGTAACCTTTATGATACCTTACACCTACATAAATACTTAGTGGGGCTACATTTAACACAAAAAAAAAAAGTGAATGAACATTAAGTTCGGTCGGGCCGAACATTTCATATCCTCCACCTTAAGCTGTGTGGATTTTATGAAGAATTTTGAAAGGTCCCTTTAAATAAACACTGCGTGGATTTTATGAAAAATTTTGAAAGCTCCCTTTAATCAAATATTTTGTGGATTTTTTAAACAACGACTGCGTGGATTTTTTTTAAGAATTTTTAGAGGTCCCTCTAAGCTATTACTGCGTGGATTTTTTAAAGAATTTTTAGAAGTCCCTCTAAGCTATTACTGCGTGGATTTTTTAAAGAATTTTTAGAGGTCCCTCTAAGCTATTACTGCGTGGATTTTTTAAAGAATTTTTAGAGGTCCCTCTAAGCTATTACTGCGTGGATTTTTTAAAGAATTTTTAGAGGTCCCTCTAAGCTATTACTGCGTGGATTTTTTAAAGAATTTTTAGAGGTCCCCAAAAGCCACTACTGCGTGGATTTTTTAAAGAATTTTTAGAGGTCCCTCTAAGCCATTACTGCGTGGATTTTTTAAAGAATTTTTAGAGGTCCCTCTAAGCTATTACTGCGTGGATTTTTTAAAGAATTTTTAGAGGTCCCGCTAAGCTATTACTGCGTGGATTTTTTAAAGAATTTTTAGAGGTCCCGCTAAGCTATTACTGCGTGGATTTTTAAAAGAATTTTCAGAGGTCTCTCTAAGCTATTACTGCGTGGATTTTTTAAAGAATTTTTAGAGGTCCCTCTAAGCTATTACTGCGTGGATTTTTTAAAAAAATTTTAGAGATCCCTTGAAGCCACTACTGCGTGGATTTTTTAAAGAATTTTTAGAGATCCCTTGAAGCCACTACTGCGTGGATTTTTTAAAAAAATTTTAGAGATCCCTCTAAGCTATTACTGCGTGGATTTTTTAAAGAATTTTTAGAGAACCCTTGAAGCCACTACTGCGTGGATTTTTTAAAAAAAAATTTTAGAGATCCCCACTACTGCGTGTTTTTTTTTAAAGAATTTTTAGAGGTCCCTCTAAGCTATACTGCGTGGATTTTTTAAAGAATTTTTAGAGGTCCATCTAAGCTATTACTGCGTGGATTTTTTAAAGAATTTTTAGAGGTCCCCAAAAGCCACTACTGCGTGGATTTTTTAAGGAATTTTTAGAGGTCCCTCTAAGCTATTACTGCGTGGATTTTTTAAAGAATTTTTAGAGGTCCCTCTAAGCTATTACTGCGTGGATTTTTTAAAGAATTTTTAGAGGTCCCTCTAAGCTATTACTGTGTTGATTTTTTAAAAAAAAATTAGAGGCCCTTTGAAGCCACTACTGTGTGGATTTTTTAAAAAATTTTTACTGCAACTACTGCGTGGATTTTTTAAAGAATTTTTAGAGGTCCCTCTAAGCTATTACTGCGTGGATTTATTAAAGAATTTTTAGAGGTCCCTCTAAGCTATTACTGCGTGGATTTTTTAAAAAAAATTTTAGAGATCCCTTGAAGCCACTACTGCGTGGATTTTTTAAAGAATTTTTAGAGGTCCCCAAAAGCCACTACTGAGTGGATTTTTAAAGAATTTTTAGAGGTCCCTCTAAGCTATTACTGCGTGGATTTTTTAAAGAATTTTTAGAGGTCCCTCTAAGCTATTACTGCGTGGATTTTTTAAAGAATTTTTAGTGGTCCCTCTAAGCTATTACTGCGTGGATTTTTTAAAGAATTTTTAGAGGTCCCTCTAAGCTATTACTGCGTGGATTTTTTAAAGAATTTTTAGTGGTCCCTCTAAGCTATTACTGCGTGGATTTTTTAAAGAATTTTTAGAGGTCCCTCTAAGCTATTACTGCGTGGATTTTTTAAAGAATTTTTAGTGGTCCCTCTAAGCTATTACTGCGTGGATTTTTTAAAGAATTTTTAGAGGTCCCTCTAAGCTATTACTGCGTGGATTTTTTAAAGAATTTTTAGAGGTCCCTCTAAGCTATTACTGCGTGGATTTTTTAAAGAATTTTTAGAGGTCCCTCTAAGCTATTACTGCGTGGATTTTTTAAAGAATTTTTAGAGGTCCCTCTAAGCTATTACTGCGTGGATTTTTTAAAGAATTTTTAGAGGTCCCTCTAAGCTATTACTGCGTGGATTTTTTAAAGAATTTTTAGAGGTCCCTCTAAGCTATTACTGCGTGGATTTTTTAAAGAATTTTTAGAGGTCCCTCTAAGCTATTACTGCGTGGATTTTTTAAAGAATTTTTAGAGATCCCTCTAAGCTATTACTGCGTGGATTTTTTAAAGAACTTTTAGAGGTCCCTCTAAGCTATTAATGCGTGGATTTTTTAAAGAATTTTTAGAGGTCCCTCTAAGCTATTACTGCGTGGATTTTTTAAAGAATTTTTAGAGGTCCCTCTAAGCTATTACTGCGTGGATATTTTAAAGAATTTTTAGAGGTCCCTCTAAGCTATTACTGCGTGGATTTTTTAAAGAATTTTTAGAGGTCCCTCTAAGCTATTACTGCGTGGATTTTTTAAAGAATTTTTAGAGGTCCCTCTAAGCTATTACTGCGTGGATTTTTTAAAGAATTTTTAGAGGTCCCTCTAAGCAATTACTGCGTGGATTTTTTAAAGAATTTTTAGAGGTCCCTCTAAGCTATTACTGCGTGGATTTTTTAAAGAATTTTTAGAGGTCCCTCTAAGCTATTACTGCGTGGATTTTTTAAAGAATTTTTAGAGGTCCTTCTAAGCTATTACTGCGTGGATTTTTTAAAGAATTTTTAAAGGTCCCTCTAAGCTATTACTGCATGGATTTTTTAAAGAATTTTTAGAGGTCCCTCTAAGCTATTACTGCGTGGATTTTTTAAAGAATTTTTAGAGGTCCCTCTAAGCTATTACTGCGTGGATTTTTTAAAGAATTTTTAGAGGTCCTTCTAAGCTATTACTGCGTGGATTTTTTAAAGAATTTTTAAAGGTCCCTCTAAGCTATTACTGCATGGATTTTTTAAAGAATTTTTAGAGGTCCCTCTAAGCCATTACTGCGTGGACTTTTTAAAGAATTTTTAGAGGTCCCTCTAAGCTATTACTGCATGGATTTTTTAAAGAATTTTTAGAGGTCCCTCTAAGCTTTTACTGCGTGGATTTTTTAAAGAATTTTTAGAGGTCCCTCTAAGCTATTACATTTAAATGCTGGAGTGCTCTAACGATGGCCACTTGTGGCCATGTCCGTACTATCCCCACTTATCACATTTTCCATAAAACGTTTCGAAAAGTATTAAATGAAAAAATGGAGGGATCGAGTGTCCTTTCTTCATTTTATAATTTTAGTAACTTTTTGGTACTAAAAATGTACGATTTTTTTCATAAACCTACATTTCTGAATTCTATATCCAATTGTTCTTCTAGTACTCAATACCAATACAGATCCAATTTAGAAATTTTAATTGTAGGTTTTTCCATAAAATCACATCTATTCCGTACTTTTTAGTACCTTGAGCTTCAATGCAAATCTCTGAATTTTCATATTCTGTACTTTTCCATAATTATATAATTTTATTTCAAATTAAACCTTCTCGAATCAATTATCTAAACTAAATATCTATCATCTAGCCAACCCTGCCATTGATCTAATTTTACAAAATCGTATTGAAAGTGATTTTGAAATTAAAAATAAAAAAAACAACATTTAAAACGGCATCGATAATTACAATAAATTAGTTAAGTAATCACTGCGATGTGTAATTAACATTTAGCTACTGGGAAACTATTTACGTTAATTATTTAACTAGCCTCGTAAATAGACGCCAGCATAAAGCAAAAAAAAAAAAAAGAGTACGGGAAAATAATAATAAGGACTGGCGGCAGTCAGTTAAACAAAACGCCACACAAATCATTTAATTGCTCGTCATAGAATTATTAATTATTCTTTCTGGCTGAGTAAATTAAATGCAGCAGCAGCAACAAAAACACTTGCATGCGACAGTAATTGTGGCGTTTTGTAACATGACTTATTAGCAACTTATAAATAAAATGTCTCACATGGAAAGTGGTTGGGAGGGAGAGGGGGGAAGAGAGGAATATCTTAATCTCCCCACTTGCTCAACACAAAGGATGCTGATGCTACTAGACATCATGTTTTATTTCCTTATTTAATTTAAAATATATTTTTACTAATTAAATTGTTGTTGTTATTGTTGTTGATGTGTGTGATTAATTTCCCTTTTGTTTTCTTTGTTTTTCTCTTCTTCATCTCCATCCAGGGTGCACAATCGGTGTCTCGGTCATACTGCTGATCTTGGGCATCCTGGTGGCCTGTCAGTTTTATGCCTTAATTAATACGGTCATAAATTACCAGGTGGCCCTGCGGCCGGGTGGCCAAACCTATGGCTGGTGGGCCAAGCCTCCAGTGGAGCCAAAGATTTCCGTCTACGTTTACAATGTCACCAATGCCAATGAATTCCTGAGCAATGGCTCCAAGCCCATTGTGGATGAAGTGGGACCCTATGTCTACACGTGAGTAACACAAAAATGCTTTTGATGGCATAATTTTAAAACTATTTTGAAATTATTGTTGTTTTTATACATTTTCAAGCCTAATAATTAAAAAAAAAAAAACAATTAAACGAAAAAAATTAAATTAAAAAAATAAATTTAAAACAAAATTAAATTTTAAAAAAAATATAATTTTGAAAAAAAAAATAAAATTTTGAAAAAAAATTAAAATTTAAAAAAAGTAAGAATTGGAAAACATTAAAAAATTAAAAAAAATAAAATTACAATAGAACAGTGTTGGATTGTTTGTCGTATTTTGTTGTTGCAAAATGGTCAGGCTTTATTATTGTTGTTTTTTTTATAAAAATAAAAAGCAATAACAAAATAAAATTAAAATTTAAAAAAAAAAATAAAATTAAAAAAATTAAAATTTGGAAAAAAATTAAAATTTCGAGTAAAATTAAAATTTTGAGAAAAATTAAAAATTCGAAAAAATTAATCGTTCTCCACTAATAAACAAACGTTGTTTTTATAAAAACAACAATAAAGGGATTAAGCCTGACCATTTTGCAACAACAAAAAATTAAATTTTTGAAAAAATAAGAATTCAAAAAAAATTGAATTTTTAAAATAAATTAGAAATTGGAAAAAAAATTAGAATTTCAAAAAAAAAAAATTAATCGTTCTCCACCAATGAACAAACGTTGTTTTTATAAAAATAACAATAAAGGGATTAAGCCAGACCATTTTGCAACAACAAAAAAAATTAAATTTTCGAAAAAATAAGAATTTGAAAAAAAATGGAATTTTAAAATAAATTTGAAATTCGGAAAAAAATTAAAATTTTAACACACGTGAGTAACACAAAAATGCTTTGGTGGGATATTTTTAAAACTATATTAAAATTAGTGTATATAAAATAAAATGTATACATTTTAAAGCTATTTAATTTAATAATAAATTTAAATTAAAAAAAAAATAAATTTAAATAAAATAAAAAATTAAATTAAATTAAAAAAAAATAATTTTTAAAAAAGTTAATATTTTGAAATAAATAAAATTTTTGAAAAACAATCAAATTTAATATTTTGAAATAAATTAAAATTTAAAAAAAAAAATAAAACTAAAAAAAAAATAATATTATGAAATAAATAAAAGTTTTGAAAAAAAAAATTAAAAAAAAAAATAATATTTTGAAATAAATTAAAGTTTTTGAAAAAAAATAAATATATTAAAATAAATAAAATTTTGGAGAAAATTAAAGTTTAGGAAATTTATAAAATTTTACTAAAATATTAAAATTTTATTAAAATAATAAAATTTTAGGAAAATATCAGAATTTTGAAAAAAATTAAATTAAAAAAACGAAATTTTAAAAAAATTAAAATTTCGAAAAAACTAAAATTAGAATTTTTTTATACCCTCCACCATTTGGAAGAAACTTGAAAAAATTCAAAAAAAAAACCGTCAGAAAATAACACTCAAATATGGGTGGCTATACGAAGACGTGGTTCTGCATAAGTAATTTGTGTCATAGGCTGTAGTATTCATTTCGAACTTCAAATACCAAATTTGAAACAAATCCGGTGAATAATGTCGCTAAGATCATCAAAATACCGAATATGGGGAGGTACCGCTATATGAGGGCTATGCGAAGACGTGGACCTACACAGACAATTTTTTGTCTTAGGCTGTAGTATCCATTACGAACTTCAAATACCAATTTTGAAACAATTCCGCAGACACAGACAGACGGACGGGCGGACAAACGGACGGACATCGCTAAATCGACATAGAATTTTATGCTGATCAAGAATATATGTGGGGTCTAAAATGTATATTTCGACGTGTTACAAACGGAAAGACAAACTCAATACATCCACCATACTATGGTGGAGGGTATAAAAGTAGAAAAAAAAAATAGAAAAATTTAAAATTTAGAAATAAATAAAAAAATAAAATTTGAAAAACAATTAACATTATAAAAAAATTAAAAGTTTGAAAAATATTAAAATCTTAAGAAAAATTAAAAAAGTAGTTATTTATAAATATCAAAGTTCTTAAAACTAAAAAAACAAGTTATATAAAAAAGGAAAAAAACTAAAATTTAAAAAAAAAAGTTAAATTTCGTGCAAAGTAAAAATATTGAGAAAATTAAAATTGTGAAGCAAATTAAAATTTTGAAAGAATAAATAATATTTTGAATAAAAAAACAATTATATTTTTTGGGAAATAATAATATTTTGAAAAAATTTAAGTTTTGGAAAAAATTAAAACAACAAAAAAATTAAAGTTTTGAAAAAATTTAAAATTAATAAAAAAAAATATTTTGAAAAAGTTTTTTAGTTTTTTTTCAATATTGAATTTACAATTTTGGAAAATGTTTTTAAAGTATTTTTTTGGAAATAATTTCTTCTCGTTCTTTCACAATTTTGAAATATCTTTCATGTACAGAACGACGAATGCAAAATATGAAATTTTGAAAAAAATTAAAATTTAAAAAAAAAAATTAAATGTTTGAAAAAAAAAATTTGAAATGATAATTTTTGGAAAATATTTTGTAATTTTTTTGAATAATTTCTCCTAGTTCTTTGACAATTTTTGTAAAATTTTGAAATCTTTTTCATTTTCTTTTCATTTTCCAGTGAATCCTGGGAAAAGGTGAACATTGTGCAAAACGATAACGGTACCCTCACCTATAGTCTCAAGAAAATCTATGTCTTCCGTGAAGAATTGTCTGTGGGCTCGGATGATGATGTGGTCATTGTGCCCAATATTCCCATGTTGAGTGCCACCTCACAGAGTAAACATGCGGCCAGGTAATATTTTCGAAAATAAAAATTATATTCCAAATTTTAATTTTCTCAAAATCGTTTTCAGATTTCTACGTCTAGCCATGGCCAGTATTATGGATATTTTGAAAATCAAACCCTTTGTCCAGGTGTCTGTGGGCCAATTGCTGTGGGGTTATGAAGATCCCCTCCTAAAACTGGCCAAGGATGTGGTGCCCAAGGAACAAAAACTGCCCTATGAAGAGTTTGGTTTGATGTACGGCAAAAATGGTACCTCAGCGGTGAGTCTTAAAGAAAAAATCCTTGGAAATTCCTGAAATATTAAATTTGTTTTTAAAATTTTCAGGATCGTGTCACCATTTTCTCTGGCGTCGATGACATCACCAAATTTGGTATTATCGACAAATACAATGGCCGCTCCCATCTGCAACATTGGCTGACCGATGAATGTAATGTCCTGAATGGTACCGATGGTTCTATTTTCCCACCCCACATCACAGAGGATCGTGTTTTGCACATTTATGACAAGGATCTGTGTCGCCTGATGCCATTGGTCTTCGAAAAGGAGGTGGTGACCAAGGGTGATGTCAAGGGTTATCGTTTCTCACCGCCCACCAATGTCTTTGCCGATGTCAACTCGAATCCCGATAATATGTGTTTCTGCCCAGCTGGCCAGCCATCGTGTTCGCCCAATGGATTGTTCAATGTTTCCCTGTGTCAATATGGTAAGAATTCGAAATAATTTTTAAAGGGTATTTTTCTAGGATATTTATTAGAGGCTCATCGAAATTTAGTACAATTTAGTACTTTTTCGTACAGTTTTGGTACATTTTTTCCATATCTACATCCATATATGAAATACACCTCAAAAAGTAACCCTAAAAAAGTTCAGATTTCCAGCTAATTGCCTTCTCACATATCAAATTTAGTACCCTTTACCATTTAGTACATTTCGAACATTTTGGTACATACAGGGTGAGATGAAAAAACTGCAACCAACTTCAGACTGCTGTCACTTCTAAGCCACTTGTTCGACAGCTGTTAAAATTATTACAGTAAGATAATTTTCCAAAAAAAAAGTTAATCGCGATGGCCTCCAGAATTCAAGCGTGATAGTGTGATTTCTTTATATTTGGCTGGAAAACCACAAGTGGCTATCGTTAGAGCATTTCAGCATTTAAATGTGAATAAATCTTTTGTCTCTCGTACCATCGCCCATCCCTCGTTACCGTGGTAGCCTGGTAGCGTAGCCCGACGTCAAGGAAGTGGACGGAAGAAAACGGCAACATCAGCAGAAATGGTTCGAAAAGTAAAGAAGCGACTTGATCGAAACCCACGTCGCAGTGGCCGAAAAATGGTTTGTGAGCTGAACATATCGCAATATTCCATTCGGCAAATATTGAAAAATGAGCTCGGCGTAAAGCCATTAAAATTTCAAAAAGTGCAAGAATTTACACCGCAAAGATAGAAAATAGACTCAAAAGAGCTAAAGATTTGCTTCGCTTGGCCGAGTGGTAAGTGGTGAATTGCCGAATTTGGTTTTCTCCGATGAGATGAGACATTCGTTGTCCAGCAGTTTGTAAACAAACAAAATGATCCGCTCGTGTTTACTTGCCAAAGAGGTCAGCTGAAAATGTGCACCTGCGGTTGGCCACCAGAGCTAAAGAGCTGGCTACGGTGATGGTGTGGGCCGCCATACCAGACGATGGTCGCTCTCCGCTCGTATTAATCGACCGTGGCATTAGAATAAATGCCGAATATTATCGCGAAAATATTCTGGAGGGTGTATTAAAGCCTTGGACACGAAAATATTTTGGCCGCAGACCTTGGACATTACAACAGGACTCAGTACGCGCCACCCAAAAATGGTTACAAAATGAGGCGCCTCCATGGCGATGGTGTGAGTCGCCATAACAGCAGATGGTCGCTATCTGCTCGTATTAATCGATCGTGGCATCGGAATAAATGCCGAATATTATCGCGAAAATATTCTGGAGGGTGTATTAAAGCCTTGGGCACGCAAACCGCATTTTAGCCGTAGACCTTGGACATTCCCACAGGACTCAGCACCATCGCACTCAGCACTCGCCACCCAAGAATGGTTACAAAATGAGGTTCCTCGTTTCATTTGCAGCGCACAATGGCCACCAAAATCTCCCTCCTCATGCCAATCTGATGGACTAATGTGTCTGCAGTATTTTGAAAAGCAAGATTGGCACTAAAAAATACCAAAGTGTCGATCACCTCAAGCAAGCGCTTCGCCGGGAATAGGCCAAAATATCGCAGAGCAACATTCGGGCAGCGTGTGACAGTTTCATTGGCCGTTTGAAGGTCATAATTCGTGGCAAAGTTGACCAATTCGAACAAATCTGAACTTATTCTAAAATTTGACGCTATTTCCGGCATTTTTTGCTTTCCTTCAATAAAATTTAAAAATATTTAAAAATTATGGCGTTTGACTTTGTTGCCGTTTTTTATCTCACCCTGTAGAAAATTATTAAAATTATTAATTATTTAATTAATTATTATTAAAATTGATTTTCAGATTCCCCAATTATGTTGAGTTTCCCCCACTTCTATTTGGCCGATGATAGTTTGCGCACAGCTGTCGAAGGTATTTCTCCACCCGAAAGAGAGAAACATCAGCTGTTCCTTGATGTGCAGCCTGTGAGTTGATCAAACAAATTTGAATTATTCTTCAAGAGATTTTTTATTTATTTTTTTTTTTTTTTTTGCAGGACATGGGCACCACTTTAAGGGCCCGAGCTCGGGTACAAATCAACTTGGCCGTCAGTCAAGTGGTTGACATCAAACAAGTTGCCAATTTCCCCGACATTGTCTTCCCCATACTCTGGTTCGAAGAGGGCATTGACTATTTGCCCGACGAAATTACCGATCTGATGAAATTCGCCACCACGGTGCCGCCAAAGATTCAGGTCATCCTAACGATTGTGTTCTTTGCCATCGGTGCTCTGTTGCTGTTGATCTCCGTCTTTTGTTTGATACGTAAATCCCATCGGCAAAGTACCCTGCATTTGGAGGGTTCAAACTACTTGGCCACCGCCCAGGTGGATGCCCAGAAGAAGAAGACAAAAGAACAAAAACAAAAATATTAGGTTAACGATTCCAGCGATTTCCAGTCCCCGCCTTTACCCCGCCCTCTAGCAACGAAATTCCCATTCCTACATCCTAGAAAATTCCCAGTTCTTTTTTTTTTGCTTTCGTTTAAATTCCCATTATTTTTTTCCCCAACCAGCCTAGTTAGGTCTTTGTACTTAATACCTGTTTTTTTTTTTAATTTTTTGTAAACATTTTTGCAGACCGACAAAAAACACACAATTTTTTTTTCACAAATCTATCAACTATTATTTAGGGTTATAGGGTTAGTAAGAGAAAAATAAATAATAATTTTAAATAATATTTTAATAACATAAAAAAAAGGAAAAGCGAACAAAGAAATATGTCAAACACTTAATTTTAAAAATAATAAAAAAAAGTGATCTTATATCTTTTTTTCGTGTGGGTGGCATATGTCGTAAATATATATATAATTAAATATATATATAAAAAAACATATTTATAGTTAATAAGTTACATACGTGTTTTATTTTAAATGATGTACTATAATTTTATATAGTTTTTCCGATTTTTGTTTTACTTTACTGTTTTTTTTTTACACTCTCTGTACTTATTGTTTGTTTTGTACTCATCAATGTTTGTTATTCACATTTTTTCTATATTAAATTGTTTTTCATCTACCAGAACCTTAACATAAAATTTGAAAACCGCAGTAGTTAACGTTCTGTGATTTGTCCGTTGAAGAAACGTATCATAGGTTGCGTTACGTTAACGTTGCGCTTTTAAATAACATGTCACAAACAATTCTCTCACAGATATTCCCCCTACTTTGTGTAATACTCTCAGTAAATTCTCAGAGAGAAATGGAATAAATTCCACGTTCCTCATAAAGTCTCACCAGCAAAATTCACAAAGCAATTCTCTTTACTTCTCCGTTGTCATTTGCCACAAATTCTCAACTTCAAATATGGCTCTTTTGAATTTTCGCTCTCTTACTGGAATAAAGAGTCAGCAACAATTCTCTCAAAAATATTCTACGGTGTAATACTCTTAGAGACATGAAAAAAATATCGATTTCTCACAAGCAAGTGTCACAACGCTAATTTCTTTTCCCCCTCTCTCGCTCTCTCTCTCTCTCTTCATTTACTAAATTTCCCAATTTTAAATTCCACATAGTGTCTTGATTTCCTTTAAAAATTTTTCTAATCTCCTTTTTAATAATAATTCCCTACGTAAGGTTTAAGGTCAGCCAGCAGTGGAGATGAGTCACAAATATATTTTTTTTGTAATGTTAAATAAATAAGAAAATTCTACAAAAACAACAACAACCACAAATATACGAATTATTTTTATTATTAATATTATTTTGCTGTATTTTAAGTTAAAATATAAATAAAAAAATGTAAATCATTAATGTGTAATAGTTGCATATTTTGTAAAAGTAAAATAAAAAAATAAAATACGAAAAATTATTTTTCGTTTTTAATTTTGAAATTGTATGCATTACGGGTACGAAAAGTACTAAGTGGTACAAAATGGTACAATATTTTTGTTAAACGATTAGTGAGATCTAGAACTTCGAAATTTTGCATGAAGTTCAATTCTGAGTTGGAGGATTTAATTTTTGAAATTCATACTGCAAAAATACAAAAAGCACTCAAAAGTATAGCTGAAACTTCTAAATGTTGTCTGAGGGTCACATGGAATGTAGAGAGACAATATTGGCTAGCATTATGGAGAATTTGCATACTAAGGGTACGAAAAGTATTCGTACTAAAAAGTCCTAAATATTGTATTGTAAAATTCAATTTGTTTGGCCCGATCCTCATGGAATTTAGCATGGAGGTGGGGCTAGGTTAAGAATAGAAGACTATTGTTTTTGGAGATGATCGCATAATATTTTCAGGTTAAAATGGACCTAAAACAGAAAAATTACATTGATGCCCATATCCAAGATATCGCATATACAGGGTGAGATGAAAAAACTGCAACCAAATTAAGACTGCTGTCATTTCTAAGCCACTCGTCCGATAGCTGTTAAAATTATTCCAGTGACAGCTCATTAGATTGTTTACAAAAGAAAAAAAAAAAGCATTTTGGTAAGAATTTTCCAGAACAAAGATTATTCGTGATGGAATTCAAGCGTGATAGTGTGATTTTCTTTATATTTGGCTGGAAAACCACAGGTGGCTATCGTTAGAGCACTCCAGCCTTTAAATGTGAATAAATCTTTTGTGTCTCGTACCACCGCCCATCGCTCGTTACCGAGATACTGGTAGCGTAGCCCGACGTCAAGGAAGTGGACGGAAGACGGAAGAAAACGGCAACATCAGCAGAAATGGTTCGAAAAGTAAAGAAGCGACTTGATCGAAACCCGCGTTGCAGTGGCTGAAAAATTGCTCGCAATATTCCATTCGGCAAATATTGAAAAATGAGCTCGGGGTAAAGCCATTGAAATTCCAAAAGGTGCAAGAACCTACACCGCAATAGAAAGAAAAACGACTCCAAAGAGCTCAAAAGTTGCTTCCCTTGGCCGAACGGTGAGTGGTGAACTGCCGAATTTGGTTTTCTCCGATGAGGAAACATTCGTTGTCCAGCAGTTTGTAAACAAACAAAATGATCGTGTTTCCTTGTCAAAGAGGTCAGCTGAAAATGTGCACCTTCGGTTGGCCACCAGAACTCAAGCCGGCCACGGTGATGGTGTGGACCGCCATAACAGCCAATGGTCGCTCTTCCCTCGTATTAATCGACCGTGGCATCAGAATAAATGCCGAATATTATCGCGAAAATATTCTGGAGGGTGTATTAAAGCCTTAGGCATGGAAAAAAAATATGGCGTTTGACTTTGTTGCAGTTTTTTATTTCACCCTGTACATATGATGGTTAAAAATATTTTAATTTAAACAAGTAAAACAGCAGTAAGTTCTGCCAGGCCGATTTTTTAATACCCTCCAGCCTTTGGAACAATTGTAGCAATTTTCAAAAAAAAAAAAAATAAATAAATAAATAAATCCGTAAAAAATTCTGTTAGAATCTTAAAAATACCGAATGTAGCCCTTATATTAGGGTTTATACAACGACGTGGACCTGTATAGGCAACTTTTGTCATAAACCATTACAATATTCAAATGCGAAAATTGAATAAAAAACAAGTAAAAAAGCTGTAAGTTCGGCCGGGCCGAACTTTTAATACCCTCCACCATTTGGTAAAAAATTGGCAATTTCCAAAAAAAAAAAAAAAAATAATAATAATAATAATAAAATCCGTTAAGAAAACCTTAAAAATACCGAATGCTTATACGACGACGTGGACCTGCACAGACAATTTTCTAGCATGGGCTGAAATATCCATTACGAACTTCACATGCGAAATTTGAAACAATCCCGGTAAATAGTGTCGCTAAAATCATCAAAATGCCGAATATTGGGGGGTACGGTATATGGGGGCTATATGAAGACGCGGACCTACATGGCCCATTTTCTGTTTTATGCTGCAGTATCTATTACGAACTTCAAATACCAAATTTGGAACAATTCCGCTAAATAATGTCGCTAATATCATCAAAATACCGAATATCGGGGGGTTCCGTTATATGGGGGCTACACGAAGACGTAGACCTGCACAGATAATTTTCTATCTTACGCTGTAGTATCCCTTAAGAACTTCAAATGCCAAATTTGAAACAATTCCGGTGAATAATGTCGCTAAAATCATCAAAATACCGAATATCAGGAGGTACCGTTATATGGGGGCTATATGATAACTTGGACCTACATGGCCCATTTACGAACTTAACTTGCCTACTGGCAAAATATACATGTGTGCAAAATTTTAGCCTTCTATCTCAATTTGTTCGAAAGATAGCGTGATTACAACAGACAGACAGACAGACACACAGACAGACAGACGGACATGGCTAAATCGTCTTAGAATTTTACGCTGATCAAGAATATATATACTTTGTTGGGTCTGACATGAGTATTTCGAGGAGTTACAAACGGAATGACAAAATTAATATACCCTCCATAGTATGGTGGAGGGTATAAAAAATTGATAGATAATGTAGCTAAAGTCATCAAAATACCGAATATCGGCGTTACCGTTATATGGGGGCTATGCGAAAACGTGGACCTGCACAGACAATTTTCTGTCATAGGCTGTAGTATCCATTATGAACTTCAAATGCCAAATTTGAAACATTTTCGGTGAATAATCTCACTGAAATCATCAAAATACCGAATATTGGGAGATACCTTTATATGGGGGCTGTACCATAACCTGGACCTACATGACCTACTTTGAATACCAAAAGTCCACACACACATTTGAGTAAAATTTCATCAACCTACTTCATTTCGTTCGGAAGTTAGAGTGATTTCCACAGAGGGACAGACGAATAGACGGACGGACATCGCTAAATCGATATAGAGTTTTATTCTGATCAAGAATATATATACTTTGTGAGGTCTAAAATGTATATTTCGAGGTGTTACAAACGGAATGACAAACTTAATATACCCTCCATACAATGGTGGACGTTATAAAAATAGTTCTTTAAAAAGTTCAAACATTCTTTAAATATCCTTCAATAAAATTCTGTAGCCAATCTATGTTGTTAGTCTTACAAATAATAATAATAATAATAATAATAATAATAATAATAATAATAATAATAATAATAATAATAATAATAATAATAATAATAATAATAATAATAATAATAATAATAATAATAATAATAATAATAATAAGAATATGAATAATTATAAAAACAATAATAATAAATAAAACATTTTCTGTAACTCATTCACTACTTGTGTTTGATCCATTTCTTCAAGAAACGAAAGATCTAATTTTATTTTTTTGTCATCCTAAAAGTATGCTTCATTTTGTAATATTCAACAGTTGGAAATAATACAAGTTGTCAATACCTATAAATGTGAATGTACTGTTTCCGAATACTAAGGCCACCAGTATATAAAACGAAAAATCAGCATAAGGCAGAATCAGACAGATATTCGCACATTTGTCTTTTATTATTTTTTGTTATTTATGATTTAAATATAACTTTTTTTATTTGTTTTTCTCACAGTGTGAGTCAGTGGGTGGGAGTCAGTCTATGTTCATTGAGAGCACTTTCGAGGGCCATTGCCCAATATTGCTTAACGTTATGTTTAAAATCGATTTTAATCTATTCAAGTTAGAGCTAAATTGTTGGATTTCTTTCAAACGTAACCTCTTTGTGAATCAAGAAGTTAAGTTTGAAAGAAATCCAATAATTTAGCTTTAACTTAAATAGATTCTTTTATTCGCTGCTGTATTTTTGCTAGTTCTTAGCTTCTACATAAAATCCACGTAGTCATATATCCTAATTTATATTTATTCAGATAAATTACAAAATATTTTCAATTTTGCTACACCCTGTTAAATTGTTTCAAATTTCCGTTACCAATCGCAATATTTCAACAGTCACTTATTGAATAAATGTTTGTTTTTTGAAACACCCTGCTGTTTTCTCATGCTCTCACTCTCTCCCCATCAAATTGTTCTCAGCACTTGCTTATCAGTTAGTCCAATGCTTGCTCGTTCTGTCCACTACTGCCCGTCCACTGCGCTCCCATTTGGTAGCTGGTCAGAAATATGTCGTTCGAACTCAAATCATTATTTAATGATTCAGAAAAAAAGAAAAGAATAAAACGAAAAACAAACCCATGCTAACAGACACTCTCGCTCCATGTTCATCTCAATGACCCATATTTTGGTGTTTTTTTTGTTTCTGCTTCTTCTTTTCCACAATCCCCTGATATCTCCTTACACAGGCTAAATAACCATAAATCGTTAGCAGCTATTGATATTTGCATTCGCTAAATACTGAGATTTGTATGCTTATGGTGTAGAAGAAGCAGCAGAGAAAAAAATTGGAATTATGCATACATACATGTGTGCTGACATATACATGTATGCATGTACGTGCGTGTGCTTGGTGTTCTAATGCAGATTATGAGATTTGCTTTAGAAATTATCAAAAGAACCATGTAATAGAGACGTCAAGTCTGACTGGGTGGAACTTCTGAAACCCCTCTTCTACGCCCGGGAAAGAATATATTCAAAATAGGTACCCGAATATTGTTCTGTTAAAAATTATTTTTACAAGACATGTTTTTATACCCTCCACCATACTACGGAGGGTATATTAACTTTGTCATTCCGTTTGTAACTCCTCGAAATACTCATGTATATATATTCTTAATCAGCGTGCAATTCTAAGTCGATTTAGCCATGTCCGTCTGTCTGTCTGTTGTAATCACGCTATCTTTCGAACGAATTGAGATAGAAGGCTAAAATTTTGCACACCTGTTTATTTTTCCAGTAGGCAGGTTAAGTTCGTAAATGGGCCATGTAGGTCCACGTTTTCATATAGCCCCCATATAACGGTACCTCCCGATATTCGGTATTTTGATGATTTTAGCGACATTATTTACCGGA